GAGTGAATCATGATAAACACATTGGTAAAGACTTAAATTTCTTGCAATTTAACCTGCCACGTCAACATCAATAAAGGTAATATAAAACTCTTAACATGCCTCAAAACAAGGGCATAGATGACCCCCATGGATGACATGGTTAACAAGGGTCATCAATTTACACAAAAGCATTTGAAATTGTACAACTACATATTTTTGTATATTGTATATAATCGTGTGTGTGTGTGTGTGTGTGTATGTATATACACTTGAATGAGAAACCTGATATTTTTTCAAATTTAACACTTCTCAAAATTTACATGAGTTTTCCAACTATGAAATGTGTCGTGAAGGTGAAAAAACATGTTTCTAAAATCTCAATCATACAGAGCAAGTTTCTATCAACCCTACCAGGGGAAAGACTAGACTTTTTGTTCTCTTTCTATAGAAGTGATATTAGATAGTTATTATATAAAGATGAGACCACAGAGTTTGCCATCCAACGTGTAAGAGTAAAGGCATTACAGGGTGAATTAGGCAGTTAACTATTAAATTTTTTTATTGTAACAGCTAATAGTCCAAAGAAAAATAAGATTCCCAAGGCATCAAGGTTTCTTGAAGACCCAACACTGGTTTTTAGGATTTGGAAACCGACCCTCCATACCCACTTGATAACCCAATGTGAGTATTTGCCCGTGGCTGTTTCAGTTTGCCGGCTTCCTGTTCATGCCATTTACCTTCACCCCTCTATGAAAACCATAGTGTTTACCCATCTCTCATCTGCCAGCTGGAGGACAGGACCTTTTAAGTTGTATGACAGTTTTATTACAGATGTAATGTGATAGCTCAAACATGGCAACATTTACCTTAGAATTCATCAAATAGCTAAAAAAAAAAAATCCTAAGTTATTAAGTTTAAATCACCAATTGCCATATTAAGGTAAAACCTGAAAATTAATTGATTGGAAAAATGAAGAAAAACTCAATGTCTAAAACTAACATTTAGTAGAATCTTTGTGTAAAAACTATTAGGAAAACTCAAAGAGGACTCTCCACAGGGAGACAAGAACTTCCAACCCAAATATTCGCAAAAGTGAATGATAAAAATCGAATTCATGTATCAATTTTAAGTATGACCATGGCTCATCCTACCTGGTGACACGATTCTAATGTTAAGATGGCCTTCAGGAAGCATTCAGCAAATACTGAATTATTGAGTGCCTACTGGGACCGTGACTGAGAATAAGAGAGATGTGGCCTTGCCTCTCAGCAAGCTTATAGTCCATGGAAACAAACACAGTGGAACACACAGATGAGCTGACTTTGTGCTAAGAATTTACTTTTTTTTTTCACTTTTAAAAATAACCTTTAAAATATCTCCTTCCTCAGGAACAACCCCTATATTGTTCAGGGCGGCAACATGCCAACTCAAGATGGAATTATTTCTCACACTCCCTTACAGATAAGGGAGGCTAAGGAGATGTGGGTTTCTGGGGAAGCCCTTCAAATGACATTTACCTAGGGGGCAGGTCCTTCTTTGCCCTTCTCATTTCCTGATCCTTTCTTCCTGTGATGTGGACACGATGGCTGTTGCAGCAATGACCCTACTGTACTATGAGGCAGCCTTGGAGAAGGTAGGGAAGAAAGATAAGAGGAATCAGGGACCCTGGTGATGTCATGGTGTCAGCACATTGGCCTGGGACTGTCTACCTACACATTCTCATGTGAAAGAAACCATACCTCTACCTCCTTTAACACAGTGTTATTTCCAGTTGCTCTTATTTGTGGTACACATAACTTCTCTTTCAAACAGATAACAAAATTAATATCTCTACAGAAGGAAGATCACATCAAAAAGAATTAAAACAAACAAACCAACAAAACAACCATATATTCCTGTGAACTTCCTAAGAAATGTCTTAATATACATAGAAGCCTATTTAAGACAACATCTTGGACAATTTTTCTAGACATCCTCAAACCCAAATGACCACCATTTCCATTCTGGAATGATTAAACCTCGACTTCCCTCTCTAAACATTATTTCAGCTTCAGGATCACAAGCGCCATGTTTCCTCTCTGCTCCTTGTATATCCTATTGTCCTACCTCTTCCACATCCCAGAGACCACTGCACTGGGCTGAGCTCTTCTGAGGACTTCTCCTTCCCCCCTTAGCAGGTTTCTCTTAGCCTGTTTTGCTTTTGTTCATAGTGATGTATTTTACTGATTCTGCCACCTCTCCTCCAAAATTCCTTTTCCCCTTGAACTCTAGGGTCTAAACCATTGATTTCAAATGAGCCGGTTCATAGATCACATTAGAGGAAAACAGCAGCCTTTCAACATGGGAAGAGATGCCCCTTTGGATTACGAGTGTCAGTTGACCTTTTATATTTTAGAAACATTATCATCATCATATCATCATCTTGCTCACCACCACCATCTTGCTCACTGCCATCTTCTTCGTCACTGCTTTCATCCCACCACTGTCTTCACCATCACCTTCCTTATTACCACTGTTCTCATCATCAACACGCTAGAGAACGGTAGATGACCAGCACTATCTAAACGCTTTCCACCACTGGCTCATTTCATATTCACAAGAACCTAGTGAGGTAGGCTTTATTGTCAGCCCCATCAACAGGTGAAGAAACTAGAACGTAGAGGGTTAACACGCTCATATCCATGGTGGGATCTGAATCCGGTTCTGGTTCCAGAGCCCATCTCTTCCCCTCTATGTTATACTACCTCTGGCAATTCTGGCATCCAAAATGTATAATTCCCTTTTCAACAACAAAGAAATCAGCCTTTCAGGAATATGTTAGAAAATCTAACTGTGAACTTCCTTTATCCAGCATTGGACAAAGACTACTTTGGGACATCTGATACCCAAGAGGAAGAGTTTCATGGACTTGCTAGTTATTCATTCCTCTCATTTTATTTCTTATATTTCTATATGAGTTGGGACATCACTTTTGCCCTGTGGGAATCTAAAGCTTGTTGTCAAATGTCCATTTGAAGAGAAGTTCTGTGCTTTTGCTGATATCCACAGGTGAATATATTTTCCATGACACTAGTCAGTGTCTCTTACTCTTTACTTAAGATCTACGTTAAATTTTTCCTTGGAGTCAGTGGTATTAACAACAACATAAATCTCTCCCTCACGGTATTTAGTTCATGACTAGGCACATACTTCTTGTTTCCTGAGTCACAGGAGCTAAATTCAGGGCTTCACTGAAGTAACTAATTAGTCTCAGACACCTGGCAACATTGATAGGTCCTCTTATTTTTAGATTGGGGTTATGTAATTTTTATTTTCATTACTATATCTATATTGAATATGAAAACATGCCTTTAGTACTTTTTTGGAAATAGCTTTGGAAATAGCATTGGAAATAGAAATTCTGCAGGTAAACCAGTAGCCACATGGGACACCAGCTCAGTGAGATATGACGAGGTGGCCCAGGAAAGGTTCTTCCCGGGGCCAAATAAGTCTGAAAAACCCTACAGACTATCCCTGCCCCTCTTAGAGAAACAAAGCGTTTTAAAAGTACATTTACTGCAGAGAGTGCTGCAGTAAAAGAAATCTTTTTTTCTATTCAACTCAGTGTCCCCCACATCTAGTTGACCGTGAAGTCTTCCCCTGCCCCACAATGATGTAACTCATGGAACCAGTTTTTTGGAATACCAGTTTGGGCAACTTGGGAATAGTGAGCAATCTGTTTTAGCAGTCATAGGAACATGTCATGGGAAGCAAAAGAATGAAGCCGTATCAGCTACTTTGGCCTCTGCCATGTGGAGGTTGGAATCCTGAGTGCCCAAGACCCCCTGGGAGAGGGGGAGATTTCCACCCTGAATGTGTCACGCACGCAGGGCTGCTGGGATAGAGAGGGCACTGGGGAGCCAGAGGGCCCACCTCTCCTGAACCATCTGGAGTAGCCGTGGGACTCTGGAGAGAGGGGTGGGGCAACTGCAAATCCAGACATATGCGCCTTTTTTTTTTTCTGAATGTCAGGGAGGGTGGAAAACATGAACCACAGAGAAGGAAGCACAATACTGCAGTTAGTTGCATGGCTCCCTGGGAACCATGTTCACATCCCATTTCTGTCACTGACTCCGCCTGTGACCTTGGAGCAGTTATCCAGATTCTTTGAGCTGAAAATAAGCTCCCTTCCTGGTAAAGAGTGGTTAATGAAACCAACCTCACACAGTCAAACGAGGCAAAGAATCACAGGTGGAGAGCCCCGTTGGTGGTGGCAGATGCACAGCAAAGGCTCAGCCAATGACAAAGGCTATCTTTACTGATTCTACGCTCTTGGTCAGTAAGAGGGGTGTCAAATCCTTGGCTCAGGCCCTGACCCCCAAAGAAACCACGGCATTATCATATTTCCATCAGATGCAGGGTGCAAATAACTTCCTGGTTTGGATACAAATGCAGCAACTGAATGCAATTTTGTGTACTCAGCCCATCCCCAAACGTTGCTCCACTGGAATAAATGGGGACCAGCAACCATGATCCATAATCATAAAAGCACAAGAGCCGAGAATAAATAATGGCTCTTCTGGACAAGCTAACTTGGTTGTAATTTATAAGCTCCTGGGCCACCTTGTTACTGCCAAGAAAATCTGCTTTACCTTCTCGCTGCTGTTCCGTCTGCCCTCTCAATCTGTACTTGCTGAAAAAAATACTTATTGTTATGCTAAAATCACAACAGGCCTCACATAACTCAGTGCTAAATAACACCGATAAAACTAGGAAAATGGCACTTTGGCATTAAAAGTTATTTTCTTATGGACTTTAACAAGATTCAGGGCTTTTGTTCTCACAATGCTCTTTTCAGCTTTACGTACACACAAAAGACACAAACATGAAAAAGTACGCAAGAGCAAAACAACACCCCCTCTCCCACAAGGAGGGTTTTCATTTGCAAACCGGGGGCCAGCAGGGGCTGCAGTACGTGGAGTTAATACCGATCAACAACCATGGCTGTGAACAGCCAGGCTGGGGGGCGGGGGGCGGTTACCTCTTTCCTGGTGAATTTTGGTGAGTGATCATTTTTGTCATCGATCATGATTGTCGCCGTGGCCGTGCCTGTTAAGCCAACATCCAGTCCAGCCATGTCTTGAGCCTCGATGATCAATTCATACTTGGGATTTTCCAGAGTCTGTAAAGCAAAAACACGACAGACAAGATGGCATTTAGGTTTGGGCTGCCACCTGGGATATAGGGGTCGCCGAGGCCGCGCCACCCCCTCGCCCGTCGGGGCAGGCATCTCAGACCCACAGAGCCTGCACCTGTTCTGCGTAATTGTGTCGTTGGAATCTCTCCAATACGAGACTGTCACGATTCATAGACTGGATACAGTCGTGGGGACGGAATCCGTTTTCTGTCCTTATTTAACAGGGCATTCGATACATTCCAGACTGTTTCATTTCCAGGCTTTAGGGTATATAATGCATGTTTGACGTCCACACCCACTTATGTTATTTCACAGTGACCTCGTGAAACTGGTCTACAATGGAGGTTAAGTGTGATGATGAGATGGGGACAAAGATAGCAGCTCTGGGAACTCACATTTACTGAACAACCTGCTGGCCAGCCATTGGGTACTGGACTTTGTACTTAATCTTTCCAACTATGTGTTAAGGCGCATATATGGTTCCCATTTTTAGCTAATTATGGCATTAATTTTCCTTATTTGCTTAAACCATTTTGGAGTGTTTTCTTTTCTTTCTTTCTTTTTTTTTTTTAAAGATTTTATTTATTTATTTGACACAGAGAGAGACAGCGAGAGAGGGAACACAAGCAGGGGGAGTGGGAAAGGGAGAAGCAGGCTCCCCACCGAGCAAGGAGCCCGATGCGGGGCTCGATCCCAGGACCCTGAGATCATGACCTGAGCCGAAGGCAGTCGCTTAACCAACTGAGCCACCCAGGCGCCCCTTGGAGTGTTTTCTTAATCACTCACAGAGTTCAAGTTGAATCACCTTCAATAACACAAATAAAAGGTCCTACCAGTCGCAAATCGTCCTGCTGGTATGACAGCTTCAAAGGCTATTGCTTACACCAACCAACAATTAAATACCATGGGGAGCAAAAAACAAAAACACAGTGGGGATCTAGAATTTCCTTCTAAAACCAAAAGTTTACATGGTAAATTTTAATAGCTCAATGCTAGCTGTCCCTAAAACTTTCCAGTATTTTTAAAGGGTGTGTGGCTCCCTAGGGCACCTTTAATTGGTTGTTTCTTAACTAAGAGCTTCTGAGCTACTAACTTAAGGAGTAGGAGTTCTGTTATATGGTTTGGAAGGCTCTCAACTCTTAGATTTGAGAGAAGGAGCTGGGATGCTGAGACACTCCTTGGATAGGATTATTCACAATGTTTCCCAGTCCCCAGCTTTATTGAAATATAGTTGACATATAAGATTGTGTATGTTTAAGGTGTACCTACGCTGACTGGATACATGTATGTATTGTGAAATGAGCTCCACCGGGATGGAAGTTCACACAACTGTCTAACTGCTGAGTGCAAACAGAATTTAACACCAAATCTAGCTCTAGGTGATTCTGGTGGTGCCTGGTTCAGTTCCATCTACTCTCAAGCTAAAGCTAGAAAATCATCAGCTTACTTTGAGTGACTTTCTACTTACCATCACCCACAAGTTGGATTGGATTTACTATTTGCCGTAAATTCTACAGCTGGACCATATGAAACCAGTAAATTGGGCCCATTTTCAAAGTCTTTCCTGAGCGTCTCTGGACAACACAACCACTAGCCAGGTCTAATTTCTAGTATAACATTTTTACTTTTCTAATAAAACATTACATGATTTTGGAAGCATTGAATCATAAAAATAAGAAATTACATGAGCTTTTCCAATATTGAAGAGATCATGGCAAACTCAATAGCCACTTTCCCCATGTAATGTCAGTGACAAATATCATTTCCTGACATCATTTTAAGGGCTGCATAAAATATAATGATATGCATAATTTATAATTTACTTCATCATCTTCTCTTATTAGGACTTTAGGTTATTTCTAGTCTCTAAAAATTTTTGACAATTTCAAATCACACTGCGATGAACATCTGCATTCAAGAAGTTTTTGATATAATTTGACTATTTTTTGAATGCTAGATTCCAAGAAGTAAGCCAAAGAGTATAAACATTTTAAGGCTCTTTACAGTTGACCCTTGAACAATGTGGGGGTTAGGGGCGCCCAACCCCCATGTGGTTGAAAATCCATGTATAACTTGACTCCCCAAAAAGCTCACTACTAATAGCCTACTGTTGACTGGAAGCCTTACTGATAACCCAAATAATCAATTAACACCTATTTTGTATGTTACATGTATTACATACCATATTTTCACAATAAAGTAAGCTAGACAAAAGAAAATCATAAGGAAGAGAAAAAATATATATAGTGTTGTGCTGTATTTATTGAAAGAAATCTGTGTCTAATCCACACAGCAAAAACCGCTATTGTTCATGGGTCGTCTGTATTCCTATTTCAGTACTGTTAACCTAGAAGATCTGACAAATTTTCCTATCAGTCCTGCTAGAACATTTAGTGTATGATCCTGGGCATGGCTTCTCCCTAAAGAACAGCTGATCTTGCCCCATGAAGCAAACTGGGGGCTGAGTGTGGTTGTGGGATTGCTATCTAACACGGCTGTGAATTCCTCCCAGCATCGCCCTGCCCCAACACGCAGTGCAGGTTACTATGGACACACCCCACAGGACAGCTTCAAGCACCAACTGTAGTGGACACGTGCTGTTCTGCTTTCCCAGTGTCCACTCCCTCTTCCCCATGGACCCATGTCATTCTTCCTTGGGGGGCCTCACCCCTTCCTCACTCTCAGCCCAGGTGGAGTTCAGGTAGCATTGATTCTATCCATGATGGAGGGATGGTCAGGTGGCTCAGGCCCGGACAATCAGGGTCTCCCCTTCCCATGATCTTGTAATGAGCATGTAACCCAAGTTAGGCCACCCAGGACTGAAACTCAAAATTCCGGGACATGCTTATTTTAGAACCCTTAGGTAGAAGGAGTTCTCTTTCTGTTGGACTTGGAGGTGGTCGGACGCAAATCTGGGGCTGGTAGTGGCCATTTGCAAGCACACAGAGAAAGTCAGCCTGAGAGAGAAGACAGCAAAGAACCACCTGGAGGTAGAGAGGGAGTTCTTTCAACCTTATTTGAGCCATTTAATAGTGATCCTTGAAGCAGAATCTCCCCCTCATATTTTGTGAGTTCTAGGAGCTACTAAATTTCTCCTTTCCCTAAGACATCTAAATTAAATGTTCCATGAGTAGCAACAAGGAGTTTTGACTAATACTGCAACTAACGCTGTGACCAATTATCTGGTTATTTGCAAGAAAGTGTGAGAGCTATCGTATGATCCTACGGTATCACAATAGGCTCTTCACACCAGAGTACCAGTCGTTTCCTGCATACATGGTTTTTTCCTTTTCCCCTCCACAGAAACATTTTTGTTTCTGGACCAGAGAAAGTTATTCTAATTTTTTCCTTCATTAGTTTTTATGCGATTTAGCTGGAAGTCATTAAACATCTAGTCTAAATATTGTGCTGGGGGCTGGGGATCCAGGGATGGGAAAACAGGGTCATTTCTTCAAGGAGCTGAGGGAAGTTTCAAGGTCGAGCACAAGCGTAGTCGCGAATAATAGCACCAAAGTGGAGTCATGGCTATGCGGAGACAGGTACAAATTCTTAGGATAGCTCACAGGAAGGATGCATTGGCTTAACTCTCTTGTAACTGAACGAATTTTATAAACAAATTTTTAAAAAGGAACCAGCCAATTCCCGTCTCCTGAAGTAAATAAAACTTTATGACTGCAACGAGAAATAGATTGATTAACCCCGTTGGAAATCAATTAGACAATTAAGTAGATAGATGGTGTGGTTTGGGATGAGATGTTCCCAAAGTCTCAATTTTCTGGCAAACTTAAGGCTACTATTAACACGTTTTTATTCTTGGAGAGATACCCAGTTATCGTAAGGAAAATAGAAACAATACGGTTGCTTCTAGAGCAGAAAGTGAGGACCGTCCACCTTTCCCAGCCCCACCTCCGAGAGGCAATTACTGTTCGTGGTCCGTTGTCTCCTTCCTTTTCCCACACATTACACGTGCGTGTGTGCACACACACACACACTTCATATGCACACATCTTTAAACAAGTGATATCGTTCACACAGCTGTGCAAGTTGTTCGGCCCTATCACCAGGTCTGTCTGTTCGTTTTCAGCCCTGTGTTTGAGCCCACGGGCTGGACCCACCACCATTCACTCAGCCCTTCCCGACTGGATGGCCCCTCACGGAGGTGTTTCCAAGTTTTCTTCCTTAAAAGCGACTCTTAAGATAACAAGTCCCCTGGCTTATCAGTATTTGGGGATATTTCTTTCCTGTGATACACAGTATTGCTTTTGCAATGACAACAGTAACAAAAATCAAACAACCGATAATAAAAGCAGCCTCCTTGGAAAGGTAAAAGACTTGGAGAGAATGTCACCTGGATCCCCTCGTTCTTACACAGCTGGATATAGCTTCCAGTCACCTCTGACCCACTTCCCACGCCAGCTGAGCCTTCGCCAGGAAGTCTTCTGTAAATCCCTAGCTCCCATGGTCACTCTCACTTGAAGTATATGTGTAGGTGCTCATTCCGTGGTGGCTTTGCCTTTGTTCCTCGGCCGGAGAAGACTCTGAAGCATCCCACAGCTGCCCCATTCTCTAGGAAGGACCGCTGATGCAGAGAAATAGGTCCCAGTGGCCCCGTGTCATATTTGTCTCCCTCGCATAGTTGACTGACCACACATAACTCCCTGATCATAGCTGGGACGATCGGGTTCTGGGAATCTGAAATGTGGACTCAGGCACTGGGGAGACAGAAGGCAGGGCAAACTTTCTTGTCTCTCGCCACATTACTGCTAAGCCCAGGAGAGGGATTTTGCTTTCTTGAATGGTTTGGGAGGAAACTTCCCATCCTGGTACTTCTCTCTGCCCACGAGGAAGGCGCCCTGCCTCTGGGGGCCGAGACCTTCTGCTGACCAGCTATTCTGTCGCTCGGTGGGTGAACTGAACAGAGGGTTGGAAGCCCCACTGTCCACTCAAGACCAATCTGCTATCTCTCAGGACGAGGATCTCACCTG